CTAAAAACTCCATTGAATATTGGCAAAATGCCTTGACAGAAACTAAAGACAACCTTCTGAAACTTGAAGAGAGATTTAGGGCTTATGAACGTGAAAGAAAAAGCCTCTTAAAAATAACAAGGAACCAGAAAGAAGCAATTCTAAAACTGGAAGATGATAAAAAGATGCATAACCTAAGAATAAAGAATGTGAGTGAGGAAGCAGGAACATCCAAAAATGAAATACAAAAAATATTCACAGATATATTAAAGCAAAATTTCCCATGTATAGCAAAAAGAAATGATATCCAGATAAAAGAAGCATACAGAACGCCAGCTACCTACAACCAAAACAGATCTACGCCTAGGCATATAATAATCGAGATCCCAGAAATCCACCAAAAAAACAGAATATTAAAAGCAGCCAGAGAAAAGATGCAGGTTACCTATAACGGGAAATCTATCAAAATAACGGCAGACTTATCAACACAAACTCTTAAGTCAAGAAGGGAGTGGGGAGAAATATTCCAAGTCCTGAAGGAAAAAAATATGCAACCTAAGTTCATATATCCATCAAAACTCTCTCTAAAAATTAATGAAGAAATAAGATACTTTCAAGACAAGGAGGAACTGTGGGAGTTCGTGGCCACTAATCCAACCCTACAGAGAGCGCTGAAGGACATTACAGAGAAAGAGAGGAAGAAATATCAGGATTACAGCTACAGTGGCAGAGAGGCCTCAGTGTACGGGGCAGACCATGGAATGAGGGAATAAGGTGGACAAATTATAGCAGAAAAGTGGAGTAGCAGACAGGAGGCAGAGACGGTAAGCTAGTCTTTGGTAGAGACAGCTCTGAAACTATATTTAAAAAAAAAAAAAAAAAAAGCAGAGGTCATTGCTAATGGTGTATAACGATTTAAAAGACACAGTAGTCCTAGTGCCATATTTAGATTGAATTAAATTTGTTCTGGTCTGTCCACTCATATCAGATTTGAGGACACAGACCTCTAGAACCAAAAATAGCAGGTTATACCATGGTAACCATCCTTACTTTCCTATTGACTTAAGCTGAAATCCTGTATTACTTACATTGTCTTACTATGACTGATCTTAATTGTATCTGAATCATAAGACTATTGGTTGGCCTTGACTGATCCTATTTGAAATCCGTATGCCTGTTAGAATCAACCCTAAAAGTAGAGGAAACTACTCTGAGCATGACAGGATGTAAAGGATATCCATACTGGTATGAATCAGTAACAGCTCTCAAATACTACAATGCAGTCAAAGATAAGTTTTTATAAAAATAGGTGATAGTATATTTAACTATAATAAGCCAGTGTTGTCGACAAATCTATTGAAAATAACAAGAGAAAACATAGTAGCTACGGAAGATCATTTATATTATAGTTTTGTAAGTCTTATCCATTGCATGTTTATCTAGGAAATTGTTTCGCTGTCTTGTTATGACTTGGTTTTCCCTATAATACAGAGAGGATAGGAACAAATACTCTGAGGAAGAGACCTGAAAAACCCGAGGCTTATTTTGTAGCATTATAATATAAATTCTAGCAATCTATTGCTTGCTGATTAAAATGACTCTGGACTGGTTTCTTCAGCTCAACTTCAGCATATGCAGAGATGGGGACGGCTATCACAAAGAGAATGAGAGATGCGATGGTAGTTGGAAATGTCTTCCCTAATTTGGAACTTGAGGACCTAAAAAGACTCCATCATCCTGTAATGATTTGATTAGTTCTATAATATGTAATAAGTATAGAAAGTGGGTGAAGTTAGGGACAACTATCTGTAAGAAGCTAGAGACAGTTAGATAAGGTAGATCTCCAGTGGACTTGCTCTGAAATCTGTATTTCTTTAAATTGTTTTTTATTTTTTTTAAATGTTCTGTTCTGTTTTGATATGGTTAACCTTATCCTCTTAGAGATGTAAAACAAATAGGTGGGACTGATAATCATATTACGGAGCTTTTGTTCGGCCATAGAGCAGAATGGTTTGTAGGGTCACTTTTTTGAATGTCATTCTAAATACTTTAATTCTATAACCTAAACAGCCATTTCGAAGAAGACAATTTGTAACTTATCAACTGGCAATTTCTTACCTTTTGTTTGTCTGTAATTTAGTATTATTTTTCTACCCTTTTTTTTCTTTAATCTCCATGTATTTTTTTTTCGTTTCCTTTTCTTTAAATAAAAAAAAAAAAAAAAAGAATAAATGTGGCCAAATTTCTCCAACTACCCACTGACAGAATCATAAGAAACTAGATAGTCTAATCCCTAACTCTCAACCAATGACCTAGGGGAGAGAAGGTGAGGTATACCGAAGAGCATAAATTCCTATCAGTTATAAATTATATGCTTCTTTCTTCATAAAACAAGCTTCAATTACTACGGGCGGATCCACTCATTCCCTCAACAATCTTTGAGACCTTAATGTATAGACAACCTGTGGTAGGCAACACTATCGTCTGGCAGGCAGTGTTCATGTGACAATTTTGTACTTAAATAAATCAGAAGTGGATTACCCCCAAGGTCATAAAACACAAAGTTCCCTTTCTGGAATAGGTATCCTCCCAGAACAGGAGAGGGGAGCCAAGCAAAGAGTTTACATCATGCTATGATTTAGATCTAAAATGCTCCCAAACTCTCACATGTTTGGAGGATCACTACACCATGGGGGCACTATACTTACCTGTGGATTTATCTACGGATATGTTCAGTAACTGAGTTTGCTGTTAGGAGATGGAGCCTGGTTGGAGGTGGGTGTCTGTGGGCATGACCTACAGAAGTACATTCTTGTCCCTGATTCCTCCCTTCTCTCTCTGCTTGCTGGCTGCTGTGAGTTGAGTAGCTTTACTCTGCCACACCCTTCTACTATGCCTTTTCTGCCTTGGAGCCAGCTGATCATGGAGTGAACCCTTACCATGAACCAAATAAACCTCTCCTTTAAATTGTGGGTGTCAGGTATTGCATCTCAGCAACAAGGAAACTGACTAATCAGTTACACAATTTATGAAACTTTCAAATGTGTAATATTTTAACTGTAATTGGCCTTAGCATATTATATATTTCTCTTCAGGGTTCTCCTAGAGTTGGGTGGTTTTGGAGTGGCTATGGTTATTTGGGGTATCTGAGTTATGTAGAATTTAAATTGGGAAAAACTTTCATTTCTGTTCTGCAGAATATAAGTATGTGACACACAGTTATTTTCCATTGGATCAAGTTATTATTAATGGACATATTAGTGCAGGATCTACTTCCAGAAATGACCTTCACCTCCTTAAACCATCACTCAGACAGAGGACAGTGCCAAAAGTTGACTGTGACTTGAATGGGTCCTACTGAACCTGGCACCCCAAACACATAGATAACAGGGAGAAGCAAGGCTTTAAATGTAAGGAACAGGAAGTTGGTCTATGGAAAATCTTTCCAGTCATTAGATAGAGAAAATTCTAAGCAGGAAAAGTTTAAGTGGGAAAGTATCAGAGGAGAACGTTAGGCAGCTAATCAATAAAAAAATAATCTGTTAACTGCAGTATGCTACTTCTGATGTTTGTCAATACTTTTAAATATGAAAGCTCTTGTGACTTCTTTTCTATTCCATTTCCCATTCATACCTAATTTTTAAAGGGAATCCCAAGAACTCCATAAAATCAAGATACCACCAAATCTAGTCCAGCCAGGTAACACAACCCATCCTGGTCACTCACAGTGTCTGGATGCCCCCAGGAATGAAGCTTAACAAGCTCTGAAGACTTGATCAGTGTTCACCTGCACAGCACCCACTAGTGGCCCAGGTGCTTGGAAAGAAGTCATGGAAAGGCCCATGAGATGAGTCACCACTCATGTATGCCAGGCCTCCTGAAAACCAGGGTGATGTGGCCCTCCAAATGCCAAAAGGGAAGGAAGGAATGAAGTTGAGAGAGGGTGTGGAGAGAAACACTAAGAATATTTTGTTCACCCGGAAGAATTTTGAGTTTTGCTGAACTAAAGGATGAAATGTAGGCTTGGTCTGTAGGGTTCTCTGCAGTCCTAAGACACAGAACCCCGAAGTTTGAGCAATAAGCACACAAGGTATCACTCCAGCTGTCAGATCCTATGGTGGGTATCACTTGTATCTGTAGCTTTGAGTCATTACTATTTATCTTTGGTGCCCTTATAGCTAGCCTTGGCTCTGAAGCCAGGAACAGAGAGGTCTCTCTCTGGTCTTAAGTTCAAAACATAAACCATATAAGACCACCATAGCATCTGTAAATTATTACACTGGATGTGTGGTGAATGCCACGGCTCACCTTTTTAACTAAGTCTCTGAGTGTGTCCACACCTTCACCTGGGATTCACTTCTTCAGAAGCATCGACCTTGCTCGTTAGCACATGTTAACTCACGATCCTCTCCACTCAGTCCTCCGTCTGAAACCTTCTCCATCAGAAAACAAACTGGGGGGGCTGGGGATTTAGCTCAGCGACATAAGCACCTGCCTTGCAAGCAGGTGGTTGTGAGTTCGATCCCTGGTACTGATAAAAAGAGAAAAAAAAGAAAACAAACTGGAAGCCCACACGCAATACCAAACATTGGGTTGCTCTGAAGATACCAAGGCATCTGTGAGCAAATTCTTTGGGTTCTCAGACTATTATTGGCCAATAGCTGTAGCCCTTCCATTTCCATAATGGGGAAACGTTCATGCAGCTATGGTATACATACTTCAGAGGAATAGGGGAAACAGACTGGGATGTCATGAGTTTCCTGCACATCTACAGTCACACTCTCTGAGGGACAACGTCACCACAGGCAGCTCTCAACAGGGTGACCCTAGAGCTGGTTAATTCAGTGATTCATTTCTTCCACTCCACCAACTTCCCCCTGAGATATGACCTTCTGGCTGGGCTCCCCCTCACGGTCCCAAGGTGTTACTGCAAGATCAGATGCAAGACATTTTGGAGGCTGAAGGCCTTGTCCAAAGACAGAAAGGGGCCTGCTTCCTCTCACACATGGCTTTTTACAATGTTCAAAAAGTCAAGTTTATAAACAGGTGACGTGGGGACAGTATAACTCGCCATTTGTAAATGTACAGTTGGATGGGTCTGGCAAAGGTACACAGTTGTGTAACAATCAAGGCAAGGAACACTTCCATAAGGCAAACAGTTGCTTCCTGTCTTCTTCTAGTCAATCTTCTCCCATGTCCATCTGTAGGCAGTCACTTCCCTCAACCCCGGCACCTGGCAAGCACTAATCTGGTTTCTGTCCTCGAAATTTGGCTTTGCAAGAATGTCACAGAAATGGAATCATACCTTAGGGTGGCCTGTTGTATCTGGCTTCTTTCATTAAACATAATTCTTAAGTCATACATGCTGCCGCATACATAAGTAGTTCGTCTAATTGCTGAGTGTCATTTCATTGTATAGATATACCATAATTTGTTTATTCATTCACCAGTTAATGGCTATTTGGGTTGTTTCCAGTTCGAGCTGTTATGGATAAAGCTGCTATAAATATCCATAAATAGGTCTTTGTGTAGATGTATGCTCTCATTTCCTTGGGGGACCTCTTAGACGTGGGATTTCTTTTTAAGAGCAAGAAGACATTCCCCAGAAGTTTCTCCATGTCTTATTGTTCAGAGTTGAGTCATAATTCTCTTCCTAAACTGCTCATTGACAGAAGGAATGGAAAGAAACTCATCATAATCTACTCTTGTGGTTCTGAGATTAGAACAGTCTTCCTGTCCATATGGCTTCATCTGGGTACACAATTCAGGTTCTTTCTAAGAGGAAAGAAGAGAAAAATAAGCTTTCGGTAGGCAACTAGAAGTGACCCACCCACAACCATGCAGAGGAACTTACAATACAGTTATACCTTGGTTCATGAATGCTTCTGTTCACGTACAATTCGGTTCCTAAACAGAAGGATTCAGTGAAAGTCCGCTTCTATTTGCAAACCCCAAAACATGGCTGTGGCCATCTTCCCCAGAATCATGGAACAAATTAAGTTTGTGAACCGAGGTACCATATATTAGAGCATTGTCGCCTTAGTTGGTAAACTACTTGAATCTGATTTTTCTGCCCACAGCACCCTAAATAACACACAGTCTACATAAGACTGTAAGAAACTGTCTGCTGCAAAGGGGAATCTCATAACTTACAACTGTGACTGTGGAGTCCTGGTCACAGCACATGGGACCATAGGCTGGTGAGTGACCCATAAAGGGCTCAACTGAGATACTCTACTCTGGGTTTGGCTGAACGAGTGAGATAGGCTGAGTGTTTAAGCTCAAGGTCTAGGAAGGAGTAAGCAGAACAATGACCAGAGAATCAGGAAACTTGCACAGAAAATCCAAGCAAAAGGCACAAGGGCAGGAGAACAGCAGGAGAGCAAGCCAGAGGAAGGTACCCAGAGGAATGACAGAGAAAGTGGGCACAGGCTAGCAAGACAGTCAGCACCTGGGGAGCAACGGCTGTCACTTCTGGGACAGGGTAAGGTGACTGCAGACACAGCTGCTGGGTATCTGGAACAGCCTCATATTTTTGCTAACACTGCAAGGGTGACTGCCAGTTTCTTTAGTGACTTCCACTTTCCCAAAGTGGCCACACAGCAAACCTGCCAACTGAGACTACCTGAATGACCAAAGCTTGCCCTATCCTTTGCTTTCTGAGCTTGCTTACTTCACAACTTTCTCCCCACTGTGTACATCACTGTCTCCTTGAAGCCAGCATACACAATGAAAACACAAACACAGCACCCAGTCACAAACACAGCACCCAGTATGCTCCTCCATGAGAAGGGCAGAGAACAATGTGTGTGTGTGTGTGTGTGTGTGTGTGTGTGTGTGTATGTGCCACACTAATCAACTTTCCTGCTAACCAACCAGATTAAGCACCTTACATGGGTTAACTCACTGAGCCCTAAAACACCAGGGCTTTTACTTTTTCCATTTTCCTGAGACCAAGCACCCAAGTAATTTCCTCAGCTTTTACATCCAGGGGGTGGCAGAGACTTTTCCAAGGGGTGAGCAGCTCCTGGGGTCAGCCTAAAGTTAGGGACACTACCCTGAAATAGACAGATCATGGAGAAATGGCAACAGAGGCAGAAGGGTAACCCCGCCACATTGGAAGTCGTGGGCTCCCAGGCCAGAGAGGAACCCAGAAGCAGGACCAGGGGCAATTCATAGCATACGTGCATTTCCACGCATCTGGCCCAAGAAAAACATCACCTGCTTCCGAGTTCTGGTGTAAGGACTGAATCAGACTTTAGGCCAAGGAGATGCAATCAATCTAGACCCAAGGACTTGTTCTTTAAGGTCTTGCTACTCAAGGTGTGGGCCATGGGGCAGCATCAGTGTCCAGGTGACCCAAGGTGAAAGTGCAGGATCCCAGCTCAGCTGGGACCAGTAAACCCACATCTGGATTTTACAGCCCCTGCAGGTGGTACATATGTACTTGTAACTCAGAGGCGTGCTCTCTTCTTAGAGTCCTGGGAGTCTTTGGAACAACTTCTGTGTGGGGAGAAAAGAGGGGCTAGACCTGCCCTTATTTTGTTCCAAACCTGACTAGCTAGTGTATTTCTCAAGCCCTGTGTGTATTAATGTCCAGATGAACCCACTTTTCCACTGTGGGGTGGTGATTTGCATGCCCATTTAACATCAAAACCATGAACTTTTGGTCCTTATGGATTACTTTCCTGAACCTCCTATATGTGTCTCATCTATTCTCCCCGGCTATATGTGTTTCTTGTGTGTGGAAAAAAAGCAAGGCTTAAAATGTCAGAAGGAAGGGATCAGATTTCCTAGCCTCTTGCCAACCAAGAGCACATTTACTAGTCTCTTCCCTCCATTAAACATTAAATGATGTTTATGAAGCACCCACAAAGGCCCGGAGCTTGCCTCGGTGCGTCGGGTTGCCAGGTGACCAACATAAATGGCATTACCCTTTACTTGAACTTTCTCCCCTGGTGTTCTCAGAGGCTCTGCAGGGACAAGAACAGACCCATACTTCAAGTGAGGATCAAGCTATGGATCAACATGACACACAAAGAGCCCCTGATTCTTAACCAGCAACTAACTCAGTAAAGTGATTCTGGTCATTGTCATCTTATCTTAGTTCCCCCACCAACCCTGTCCAACTTTACCCATCTCCCAACCCAAGTGGATCCAACTTGACAACCCATGAAGGACTGGAATAATCAATAACCTTCACCTATTAAGATCTCACAGATAGATCAGACCCACTAACCCAGCACTGAAGTTCATGACTTCTAAAACAGGAAATCACAACAAGGTTGGGAAATCCAGATTAAATGGTCACTCTAATTGCAAACCAGGTAAATAAGAAAATGGACAGGAAAGGTATAAAAATAGCATCCTAGCATATGAGAAAAGAAGATAGCTTCTTTAAAGATGAATTGTATTCTTCCTTTTTTCTGTCTAAATCTGAACTCCTTCAAGATGTAGGTCAGTGGAGTAATTGTTAAATAAACTTGAGGTGGGGTAACTGTCTCCTATCATCTCCATGAACTGAGATGCATTAACGCATAAAAGCAGACTGGTTACATCCCCTAACTCTGAAAGCACTGTTAGTACACTCCGCATCTACTCCAGGAAAGGGAAGAGTCGCCTTCACAAAACCCATCTGCAGGGAAGACAGGAAGGAGGAGGAGGAAGGGGATGTGTGTGCGCCACCAGACTCTGCCCTCCTCTCCCAGGCTTTCAGGCCAGGAGTGATGAATCCGATGCCCCGTGAACGAGATTTGCAGGTGTGAGTGGGAGGAGGCTGCGGGGGGAGCCCGGATGAATGGGAGTGCGGGCAGAGGGGATGCTAGGACAGAAGCTGGAGCAAAGGTTGAGTGAACAAAAGTGGGATGGCTGCCACTTCCTGAGGGAGGGCAGATGGGTCACCCTGCCCAAAGATTTAGAGCTCCAAGCTGCACAACCCTGCTGCTGTCATCAGAGAAGGATGTGACAGCACAGGAGGCTGCCATGACAACTGATGAGGAGAGTCCAAACTGTCTGGTGACTGGGAAAGGCAACCAGTGTGGCTGGAACTAATTCCACAGTGTCCTGAGGAAGGCAGAGTCTCAGTGGGTCAGCCATCAGGGGGGCGAACGAATGGACAGGCCAAAGGCACATGTGCCTGCTGCACATCGGGCCCTCAACAAACAGCTACTGAACAAATGAATGGGATTGCCAATTTCAGCCCCGCCATCAATAATTTGATCCAAGAACGCTATATATTCATTTGATACATAAATTTCAACTGGCTGCCTTCTATCTTGCCTCCTAGTGAGGACACACAGACAAATTGATTAGCACAAGACGTGGTAATTTACAACCAATGGCAGCCACCAAGGCAAATACATTCATAGAGAAGATTAGATCAGAGGTCAGCAACCATTCCCTGCGTGGAACCAGGAAGGAAATACTTTAGATTGTGTGCCATTGCGGCAGTTGTGGACAACAGGTAAATGAACGGCCACGGCTGCTTTCCAGTAAACCGTTCACGAACACTGGAATTTGAATTTCATAGCAGTTTATGTGTTGTGAAGTATTATTCTTCTTTTGATGTTTCTTAACCACACAACACTGTAAAAACCATTCTTCACTCTCAGGCCGTGTGAAAACAGGTGGGGTGTTCAGGTTTAGTGTACAGATCATACTTTGCTGACCCCTGGAGTAGAATGTGACAGAGCAAGAAAGGGACCCCGCTAAAAAGATGACCTGTGAGCTGAGACTAGAAAGAGAGTAACAAACCAGCCATGCAAATAGAAGAGGAAGAAAAATGCAAGCACAGGGAAGAGTTCTGCAAAGGCCTTAAAGAAAGAGTGAAACCTGATTACAGTAAACACAGTGCCACTGATCCCCTCAAACCCTCCTCCTCACCTCAAATGCACTTACTCCATCATCCTTGCCACCTTCTGAAGCTTTTCTGGAGTTTCACAAGTGTCTCTCTGAGCTGTAATAAAAAACACAGTGAATGCTGCTGCCAGTGCCCATCCAGTAGAAAGGCAGTTGCACTGCGTGTCCTCATCCTCTACTCACTTGCTCTAGAAGCGCACTTGGGGCTCTTTGCCAAAGTCAAAATCACCATAAAAGATACACATTTTTTAATTGATTTGAGATACCAAAGCAGCCACCACAGCACAACTAAAGACAAGACTGAGGGCTTCCAGCAACACTTCAGAAAGTGTCAAGAATGATGGGAGACATTGTGTTTGAAGTAAGGAAGAATATTTTGAGAAAGACTAATGACATTGTTGATTCATCGTGATACAGTTTTTAGATTTAAACATGGACCACAGTTTGCCATCTTACCTCATATGTACAGTCAATCTCCACAGTGGTAATCCACAGGAGAGATTTGTAAGGAAAACAGATCTGGAGCCCTCTGGAGCCTGGCTTGGCTGTGGCTTGCAGAAGCAAGTATGCAGGCAATCTCAGTGTGTGTGTCAGCAGCTGTGAAGCTCCTTGTTAGGGGACATCAGCCCCTGGCGGGCTCTGGTTCTCAGCTGCATCTTTGGATCAAACTAACTCTGGCTTCACAAGCCCATTTCTTCTGCAGATGTTGTTATCAGTCATTCTAATCTGAAGCACAAGACTGTAAGCAGCAGCATCTCTCTGGAAAACCTACGGGATAAACAGTCCATGGGGTATGGTGAGTTTGGTTTTTTGTTTTTGATAAAAACAACACAAAAATGAGTACTTCAGGGTTTACAACTTTTTGAGTGTTATCTATTGTTTGATGCCTGAGTTCTAACAAATACAAGTCTGCTTGGCGCCTTGCCCATTGGTGTTATGACCTAATGTCATTAAATCCAAAGTACCGAAGCTTCATGCTTTCCTCTACATGGAAGGAAGTAGACAACTTTATCTATCACCCACACACAATCTCAGTGCCAGCCGTCACACACTAGCTATGGCAGGTTTTCAGGGGCCACCAAGACCAGGGATAGAGGGGATATAAGAGCGAAATAGCCAGGCCCAGGTGAAAAGCATTGTCACTGCAAGCTGTGGTTGATTTTTGGCTCTGACCCCCACAGCTTTGGTTCTAAGTCAGTCTTGCTCAGAACCTGGGGCCATATTTAGCCTTTGTGTATGAATCAGTACTTTGTCAATTAGCATTGCTTGTGCAGAATTAAGGCACAGAACTGCACCTCCACCTTCCATACCCCCAAGTCGGGGACAGACCAACTCAGCAGTTTTCAGGTCCTGGCTGCATCAAAAGAGCATCTGTAATCAATTACCACCTTTTTTTTCCTGTTCCTCACCATCCTTTAGTTAAAAATGGCTAACAATTTTTTTCCTTCATCTCCTTGTAAAAATACATACATCCCGACACACACATATGCTCCCAGGCTGAAATCACAAGTGCCAAGGCCCAGCCCAGAGAGGACGTTTGTGACTGGCTTACGTGTCTCCCAGAGAGGGGCTTTGAGGGGAAGCACTGTTAATGTCAGCAGGATTTGCCAGGCCCAGAATATTGTGGTCGTTCATGGACTGCAGCCCACCATGGGAAACAAATCTGAGGGCAGGGATGGCCAGAAGAACATGGCCAGGACCCTCACAGCTTCAGGGACAGAATACTCCAGGATGTTTGGATTCAAAAATAATGATCACACAGAGTTGTCCACACATGAGCCAGAAGTCCAAATCTATCTCAAATGACCAATTTCTCCCTGCCCCCTGAATGACATTAAGAGACAACCTAGAGCAACAAGCCAGCAGCTAGTGAGGTGGAAGCCAGCTGTCATGGTTTATGTTGGTGGCCCCCAAGCCTCATGCCTTTGCATTATGCACTTGTGATTGGTTCATTGTCTAGAACTTGGATTGGGGGAATAATGCTATACTGGCCCAGGGGTGGAGCCAGGATGTGACATAAAGGCAGGAAGAAGGTGTGTCTTGCTCTCTTGCTCTTTTTCAGTCGCCATGAACTGCCACCCCGCCATGCCACCCTGCCTTGGAGCCAACTGAGTATGGACTGAAACCTCCAAAAGCTGTAAGAAATAAACCTTTCCTTTCCCAACTTGGGCATCATGTATTTTGACGAGTAAAAAGTAACAAGTAAAAAGTAACTTCTGCAAGGACATTAATCCACTTAACTGTATCACCAGTGTTCAAGCACTGTCATACACACACTCCATGCCCAACTCATATCTGGAGTCAGGTACATAGATGGATGGATGGCTGTAAGTCAAGAACTACAGGAATTGGCAAACAAATTTCTGCTTCCATTTTCTCATCTGCAAAATGAAGTAGTTCAACAAGGTCAGTATTTCTCAATCCCCGTTGCACACTTGTTTGTATAAATATTGATACTCAGATCCTGCCCTGGACCACATTTTTAGATATGGGACTTCGGAATCGAGTTTGAAAAGCTCCCTGGGTGATCACAATGTTGAGCTAGATTTGCAAAGCAAAGAGTTAGATGATTTGAAATTCTATCCTATATTTAAAATTCTAGCTGGGGATTTAGCTCAGTAGCACAAGCGCCTGCCTGACAGGTATGTGGTCGTGAGTCCGATCCCTAGTACCAAAAATAAATAAGTAAAATAAAATTCTAGGGGTTTTAACTGATCTGGGTCCTAAGATTCAAGGCCTAGAATTTGTCTTTCTCCAGCTCAACAAAATAAAAGGGAGGTGATGAAATGACATCAAGAAATTATATTCAGGAAATAATGAGCATTTAGTGGACTGGTTGGCACAAAGAACTAGGCATAGCATATAAATCTCCAACTCCTCTAGCAAGTGGCATTATGTCATTGTCCCTGTGTGTCAGATGAGCAGGCTGGGACTCCCCAGAGAAGAGAGGCGAATGATCCCAGGCCAGAAAGTGCGAAATTCCCAAGCAGCTGTGAAGGTACTCTTGAGCAAGTAGCACCCAACTCTCCTTTCTCAGAATTAGAGGCAAAAGATTTATGTTCCTCGAGAGCAGAGCAACAGAAAGAGAAGTGAGAACTTGAAGCCACACAGCACAGAACCGTGAGGTTTGGGGAGGAGGGATGCCCTCCCACTCCTGATCTCCTCCAACTTGAAAAAGGACAATCCTGTCTCCTCCCCCAGGGTCCCGGCTGTCACAGATGAGCCCTGATAAAGGCTTGGGGCCTCCTCCTCCTTGAATTCCTTTGTTCCAGTACCCATCCCATTAGAAAAAGGTCACACATCTTTGGCCCCTTTTAATTTCAGGGGTGGAGAGGTAAAAGCCCAGTCAGGGAAACCTGTGCAATTATGAGCAATTACTTAAACGGCTCTCAGACAAGCCTTGGCCCTCCACCAGCAAGCAAAGAGGGGCTGCGTCTGGGTTTTGTAGGCCAGAAGCATGGAGGGTGGGAAGCTTGAGGTGGGGGAGGAGGGGAGGCTGCAAAGCCTTTTGTCACTGGGCTACAAAAAAAAAAAAAAAAAAAGCCCCATTGGTATTTCCTGCCACTGAACTAGCTGACACTAACCAGCCCTGCACAGGGGAACTATTCACTTAAAAGTCATCGTTTCCTTTACTTATCTGCCTCTAAAGAAACAAATCTATTAGCAGCAAGAAATCACTCCAGAGGCTTTAACTAAGTGCTGCTCCTGCTGCGGATGCCAAAGCACTGCCTTCTCCGCTCTTCTCCGGCAGCAGCTCTCCACTGGCCCAGGTCAGCAGTGTCTGTGGCCACTCCAGATAACAAGGGCCATTACATTCCAAATCCTTCCCCAGCCTCCTCCCCTCCCTTCCGCCAAATCCCAAACCCAATTTCTCCCTGGCAGATCAAAGGCTGCCCAAGCTACAGGAGAGCTCCCTCGATCAATAAACTCTTGACAAGGGAATAAACAGACCAATCCAATAGTTTCCATCAGGATTGTCCTGGCCCATCGCGGTGTCTTTCCTCTGAGAACTATGGAGATTTGATGTGGAGTTCAAAATAGCTTGATTCTGGATTCAAAGACCAAAAATTGCCCCAGAATACCTTCTAGCCTTTGTCTTAAACATACAAACCATAAGAAGACTGCTTAGCCAAACTGTTGGATTTTCTGTATCTTCCAAAAACAATTCTCCTTCCACTCCAGCAAAGTTTGCAAGAGCACCTGGAAAGATCTCTCTCTCTCTCTTTTTTTTTTTTTTTTGGCTTCACAATCAGTGTATTCAGGCGACATCATAAATTTCAACAAATACTTAAATTCTGATACCCAGATTTAAGCATGTGAACATATGACTTTTTTAAACATATAAGTAAAGCTATTTATCATAATTTGCTATACTATTGCCATTAAATTACAGTTACTTTAGAGCATTAAGTCAAATGGGTTAAATCAAGCCTGTAACATACCTAAGGAACACCTTCTTATATTATCCATGCAAACTACCTTTCTGCATAGTCTCTTCACTTTAATGTCTAAGTTATCCAGCTCTTATAACTCTCACAACTCACAACTCAAGGGCTTATCATGGTCCAAAGAGAAGGGAAAAAATATAACCAGGACTGGCATATATATTTTATATACCAATCCTGGTATATAATATATATATTTTAAAAGATAGCACAGCAAAGGGGAATGGAATCCTAGAAATGCAGGCCCTTAAAAAGTAGCATTATTACAATAAACCCCTTCTTTAGAAAGGTAACATTTCTATCACTGATATCACAGGCTAAATTATATTTTATGCCACCTTCAAGTAATAGTTGAGGCGGTAGAATGCAGAGGCATCACAATGAGTCTCACTTAATACAAATAACTATAGAAAGACCAACACTGCCACAAACTGGTTCCTTTCTCTGATTGTCAGTTAAATATATATTTAATCCATACCTTAGCAGTGAAGGGTCATACACTAAAGTCAACCCATATACTTAGCATTTCAGTCTAAGCTTGTTTATGTATACAAATGAAATCAATTACAAGGTATGGTCTAACACACCAGGTTTGGTACTTTTTATAGGCATTAAACTTCAAAATAGATCTAATTTTAACAATTAACTTTGTGATGTAAGAAGTATGAGAAAAATGAATACATTTCTCTTGATGTTCACCCTGAAGCATCTATAGTGTTTTGCAAACAAGAAACACAAAGTATGGGCCAGAAGACACAAAAAAAGCTGAATTCAGGATGCTGTGATTTGGGACATGCCCACTGTTTTTAAATTCAAGAGAATATTCAGTTACCTGACTACTGTCTCTCTCTCCTGTGATTGTCTCTTTGATTCCTAAATCATTAGTCCAAGAAACACTATCCAAACATAAGGGTCTGTGAGATTCATTTCACAGTTATCTCAATGGCCCTATTAACTATATGTCAGGGTCACTCACATCTTTAGGAATAAAATCTTGCAGCTGCTTGCTTTATAAGCTGCATAAACTTCTTTGATCAGTTTGAATTCCTCATTAATAAGCATGGGAAATGCTTGGAGAAGATCCCTGGAGTGTACTGCACTACTCTGATACAGGACCTAGATCAGAGACAGGGACGTAGACCAGTAACACTGGCTACAAAATGAGGACAGCAGGTGGAGAGGAACAGTGCCTTGTTGCCAGAGACAGTGATAGCCCCATTCACCAGAGATAGGTGTCCTCTTTGTATCCAGCCTGGAGGAAAGATATTTACCCTTGCCACAATCCAACTTAATATCAGTAGCCATTTCTGGAGAGCT